TCTGACGCCTTCCCGGTTTTGATTGCTTGAATTTCAATTTCTGTGCACACCTCCGTACAGGCGGAGCAGTCCAACAGCTACAGCGGTATTGTGGAGGACCCGACGGAAATGCTGACGGAATCTCGTCTCCCGTCCATCATGCGTACCGCCTTGGCGATTCGGGCGTACGCTGTCCTCGAGTAAGTGGAAACGCCCAAGAAGCGCCGTGTTCTTGCTGCTCGCACTGCTGCATTTGTGCTCTTTGAGATCGCCCTTGCCCTCTGGTTCGTGGCGTGCTCTGTACATACATACAATGTTCCCTGGCGAAGTGGTTGCCGAGTAGCATGTGTAGCTGGTACGTTTGGTGATTATCTGTTTGTTGCATTTTTGGACCCTCTTCCTATGTGTGACCGGGCGCACGGGGTACGTTTGTGTATTTCTGCCATGCTCTCTTCAGAGTCGTAACGCCGAAGGCTTGAAGAATATTCTTGTGTGAAGCACTCATCGTTCCCATGTTGACGTCGTTGCCTTCAGGATTGAGGAAGGTGTCAACAAGATGCGGCACAGCCGCTACGTCGGAGATGTGGTGAAAACCACAGCGCAGACGGTGCGCAAGTGGGTAAAAGGAGTTCTGCCAAGACGGAAAATTTCTCATCAGAAAACGACTTTACGAGATAAGCCAGGCGGACTCCTTCATCGACCATGAGGACATCGCCGAGCGTTGCCGGGAGGAAATCGACCGGCGGCTTTACCGCCGGAAGAAAACGGATCCGCGGTTTCGTGTCTCGGACTTTCAGAGGTAAGGGGACGGACGTGAAAATGAGAGAGCGCGCGGTTAGTGTTCCTGTTGGGTTGAACGGCGTTGGTTTTGTGTTCGTCTTGTGTGCGCCCGTGTGTTGTGGATACATGTGGACTAATTTCTCCAACTCTCTTCTGTTACCGCTTTCCTCTCCACTGCAAAATTGGTGGGTGAACACTGTTCTTCTGAAGGAAGTATTTTCCGGCGGAGGAGGCATCTCTCGGACAACGGCGCACAGCTGGATCTGCAGACTCGGCTTCAGGTGGAAGAAGAGCGGGAAGTGCGTCTACGTCGATGGCCACAACCGCCCGGATGTCGTCGAGGCCCGGCGGGAGTACGTGGCGAAGATGCTCATCCTGCGAAAGATGATGTCCATGTGAGTGGCGCGGAGAGACTGGCCCGGGGCAGGCTCCTACTTGCGGCAAATAGTCGTTCAAGGGCAGGCGGAGACAAGCTGTTTGTTGTTTTTTGTCCTCTAGCGTCGTTCAGTGCCTTGCACGACCAAACCAGACTGCCAGAGTTGAGCTTGATACCGCGCCGCTACCTGGTACTTTTTCTTTTCTCTTGGTGGGTTGGCACGTTTCTGTACGTGGTTGCTGGTGATGAAAATCACCGGAAAACTATAATCGTGGCGTGCTTCTTTCACCGCACTGCTGTACAGGATAAACGTAGTCTCCCTTGTGATCCCCCGACCCCCAAAAATCGACCGGCCAGTAATCAAAAGCTTGGACCCCGGGAGGATCGTTGAAAAAAAAACTTCCCCCTCTCAACCATTTTTTTTGTTCCCCCGGCAGAGCGATGAAAAAGGAAACAGCAGCAGTGTTCCCCCCGCCGGGACCACCAAGCAAATAGCGGTGTTCTTGAAGTACATGGTAGCTTTGTCTCGATCGTCTCGTTCAACAACCGCGACACACGTGCCAACATCTTTTATTGTCTTTTTTCCCCGTGTGCGTTGACAGCCCCGTCCAGGTAGAAACTGTGACGATGGCGAGAGTACGCGACGCGCCCGAAGGGGGGGGCGCATCTACTGGGGGAGGCGACGACGA